TCATAATATCCTACCACTTCTATTCCTTAGGCTCATCTAGGTCTTGCCCACACTCTGCTCTGCCTTTCAACACAGGTGAATACATGGAATTTCAAGTGTACACTTAAAGCTTTGTGCTCTAGGTGGTTTTGTTGTGTGGTTTTGTTTTTTTTTTTTTTTTATATTCAGCTTTTGGGAAAACCTACCTTTCTGCCAAGGATTTTCTTTTGTTTTACTTTTGATTAGTTAATTAGGATTTTTAAAAGAATTCAGGGCAGGATGTCTGAACTCTTTCTACAGTGTTACTGTTAACCACGCAGAGTCACCATGGATCTTGAAGCTGTTCACTTCTCTGCATCTCCTGTTTCGTGGCCCAGCACCAAACCAGCCTAATCCCTCCCTTTAATTTGTACAGCACCCTCCTAATTGATCACCTCACTTCCAGCATTCTCCATACACCCTCAGAATGGTTTTCTAAAACCCTAAATCTAATTAGGTTACTCTGTGGCTTAAACCCTATCTTGAGTATCTTCCCATTGTTCAGAGGATAAAAATTGAAATGTGAATAAAACCAACGGAGTTGTCTATGCCCTGGCCCTTTCCTGCCTCTCGCCTCATTTTCTACCATTCTCCTCTTGACTCCTAGAGTTCCAGCCCCCTTACCTGTCCTTGAAATAGAGATGTACAAGTTCCTACTTGCTTTAGGTTCTTAAACACACTGTTCTCTCAGTCCATAAAGCTCTCATTGATTTTGTAGCCTTTACATTTCTAATTTCTTTTTAGTAGCCTTTAAAGTCCAATAAGGACAGAGACTTTGCTTTTCTCATCCCACTTGTTTCATATTAATTCATTCATTCATATTGGCATAGTGCCATGTACTCTAGATGTTCAGTTTTTATGCGGTGAATGACTAACTGGTGGAATGAATGGCCCTCTACCACCCCTGGTACTTCCTGTGTTCCACTCGATCATTGCAGGAGCTGTCTTTTGGTTCTACTTGTTTTCTCTCACAATCTACCTTCTATACTGCTAGTCTCATGACCTTTCTAACAGTGAGTAAACTCGACGTCACCCCTTTATCCAGGACTGTTCAGTGGCTTTTTAATCGAGGGTTAAGAGCCCTCAGCTTGCCACACAGAGGCCTCTCATGTTCCCGTGCCCCTCGGGCCCACGCTGTTGTTACCGGGCTGCCTCGCCTCCAGCGGTGCAGAGTGATAAAGCAAAAGAACAGGGCAAAAGTTAGAACAAAACATCTCAAAATAGTCCCAGTGAAGCCCGTGAAGCTAATTTCTTGGTTGGTGTACTGGACTCGGAGGGCCCCTTTTTGGTATTGATTTAATTAATGTATAGAGAGCGACATACTGAAAGAGGCCAGGAAAGCTGGGAGCAGAGAGCTGACCTCCAATCAAGCTGGCTCCAGAAGTTCGCTGTTTAAATCCTTCTGTACCAAACATGTAGCTGTGATGGATAAAATAAACAAATAGAAAACCAAAGAGACATAACTAGGCTCAGGAAAGATAGATAGATATCTCCGTGGACAGGTAAAGGAATAGAAATGCAATAATTTGGGCTGAAACCATTAGTTGCATCCAGAACCAGGCTTTTGGCTCCAATAAGCAGAGAGGACTTAAACTATACCATGAATAAAGCTTAAAGCCAGGAACGAGGCTATGGCTTCCTCTGTTCCTGGAAGGACATTGAGAAGATATGAGTATTGTTATTTGGTTAAAATTGAGGTTGTATTATTAAAGGAGAAAAGGAAAATGGATGTTAACTATGTGGCTGGCAATGCTTACCATAACAAAATAATGAAAATGAATTGTGTTCAACCTAATAACCTAAAAACAAAACAAAGAGAGAAGAGAGATGAAACCTATAGGAAGTGGAAAAATAACAGCAGAAATTAGTAAAAATAGAAAACAATAAAATAAGATTGAAATCAAAGTGGGTTTTTTTTAAATCTGATAAAGTATATATTTCTAGCAAAACTGATCAAGAAAGACATGGAAAACAATATTAGAGAAGGCACAAATAAACAATATTTAAAGAGAGTATAGCAACTGATATAATTGAGAGGGTATTTGTTTGTTTGGGGGAGAGAGAGAGAGACATCAACTTGTTGTACCATTTATTTATGCATTCATTGGTTGATTCTTGCATGCGCCCTGACTGGGGATTGAACCCGCAACTTTGACATATTGGGGTGACACTCTATCCAACTGCACAGGGTAACAGAGGTTTTAAACTATAGAGAATAGTGTAAATAACTTCATATCAATAAATTTAATAACTTAGGTGAAAGAGATATTTATTTTAAAATTACAAGTTGTCAGAAGTGACTCAGGAAGAAATAGAAAATTAAATAGTAACTATTACAAAAAATGAACTTATAATTAAAAATATTCCATCCTTCACCTTGTTCCTCCTGTACACCTTCATGTCCCACCTTCTGACTCCAGAATGGAAATGTCCTGTGACACAGGCCCTGATAATTATAGAAGGGAATTTTCTTTGAACTTCAAGAGTCCTTTAACTATTTTCAAAGAATTAGGGAAAGTTTCTTAACACAGTTTTTAAGACTTGTGTTATATTGTTACTAAGAGCCAACAAGAATAGTACATAAAAAGAAAATTACAGTCCTGTCTCACCTGTGGACACAAATGTAAAAAAACTCTAATATCAAATTTAGTTCAGAATCTGTGTATTGGTCTGTCTGTCTACCTACCCACCTACCTATCGATAGACATCCATCCTTCCATCCATTCATCAGTTTATCCAGAGTTTACCCCAGGAATGCAGGCATAGTTCAAGAACAGAAAATATATAACATCCCAGCTAACACTGTTATGGTAATACAATAGATAGATTAAAAAACATTTGATAAGGTCAGATCGTGGTGATACGTGGGACATGAGGAAGGGGTAGTGAAATCAGGACACAATCCATAGTAGACTTTAGTTATATCAACATTAGTTCATTACTTTTTAGTAAAATAAGATTACATTAAGATTATACAAAGTTGATTGTGGTCATGTGTATCATGATATTCTTTATATATTCTCTATGTAATTTAATGGATGCTTGTAGTATCTCATAATAAATACTGAACCAAAAATAAAAGTAAAAATAAAAAGTAGCGTCCTGCGGTAGGACTGAGCAAAGGATCAAGTCTTAGGGGGATTTAGTATATACCTTAGTGAGAGAAAGGTTGGGAAAAGAAGTTTTCACAAGTCATGCTTTAGGAATGTAAGTTCTCTAATTACCTCCTCTTTATTGATACTTTAATAAAGATTTAAAATTGTTTTCCATTCCATTATGTTTTGAGTATCATGATGGTATTTCATCTGAATATGAAATTATGCTGAGCTTTACCCAGATCACAAGTACTTCTTCAAATGCTTGGTTGCTCATTCTGACCCATTTGCACAAAATACTTATTCTTTGCCTTCTCATACTGCCCACCCCACCTAGTCCCTGGGAAACTCCTACTTATCCTTTGAGTCTTCATTCAGCACTTCTTCCTTCGTGAACAGGCTCTCCATTTCTCACGCACTAGTGAGCTTCTTGAGAACCTGGACTGTTTATTTTTATGCCTGCAATTCCCTGGTCCAAAGTTGCTGCTCAATAAATATTTGTCAACTTAGTGGTCAAGTTAATAAATGAATTGATGAGCAATCTTTTGTAAGAAGAAACTTATTGAGGTAAAATTTATATTTTATAAAATTCATCCTTTTAAACTGTAGAATTGATTCTTAGTATATCTAGAGTTATGCAGATATAAGCATAATCGGATTTTATAGCATTTTTATCATCTCAGAAACAGCACTCCTTAGCCATCACTAACCATTTCATTCCTGTCCCACCTCTAGGCGGTTGCTAATCTGCTTTCTGTCTCTATAGGTTTCCCTCTTCTGGATATTTTATGTAAATGGAATCATACAATGTGTGGTTCTTTGCAAGGACCTATTCCCGTAGTATAATGTTTTCAAGGCCATCCACACTGCAGCATGTATTAGTATTTTATTACTTTTTATTACCAAATAATGTTTTATTGGATGGATAGACCACATTTTGTTTATCCACTCATCCAGTGATGGACATTTGAGTTGTTTTCTTGGCTGTATGAATAGTGCTGCTGTGAACATTCATGTTCAAGTTTTTGTGTGTACATTTGTTTTCATTTCTCTTGGGTAAATACGTAGGAGTACAATTGTTGGGCCATATGGTAACTCTGTATTTAACTTTTCAAACAACTGCCTAACTATTTTCTAAAGTAGTTATACCATTTTACATTCCCACCAGCAATGCATGAGGGTTTCAGTTTCTATACATCCTCAACGACACATGTTATTTAATGTTTGTCCTGTTTATCACAATCTTCCCAGTGGATATGAAATGGTGTCTTATTGTGGTTTTGATTTACATTTTCCTAATGACCAGTGATGTTCAGCATCCTTTAATGTGTGTACTGGCCATTCATATATCTTTGAAGAATTGTCTATTCAAATCCTTTGCTTGTTTTTAAAGTTGGGTTTTCTTTTTATTGAGTTGTGAGATATACTATGGATACAATCCCTTACCAGATGTGTGACTGACAGTATTTTCTCTCAATTTATATATTGTTTTTACCTTCTTGATATTGTCACTTGAGGTGCAAACATTTTTAATATTGATGAAGTCCAGTTAAAAAATATTTTAAAATTACTTGTGTTTTTGGTATCATATCTAAGAAATCATTGCCTGACTGAAAATCATGAAGATAAGCATCTATATTTCCTTCTGCAAGTTTTTCAGCTTTAACTCTTATATTTAAGGCTGTGATCCATTTTGAGTTGAATTTTTTGCAAGGTGAGAGGTAGAAATCCAAATACATTCCTCTGTGTGTGGATAACCAGTTGTCCCAGTTCCATTTTTTGAAAAGACCTTTCTTTCCTGAATGAGCAATCTTGAATGTTTTTCTAATCATATGTCTTTTTGTATTGACATCCTTCTAATATATATCCTTATGTTTTGATTTTCAGGTTGCTTATCAAGTGTCCCACAAATGAAAAAAATTTCCACATCTTACGAGGAAAGAAGGAAACAAGCCACTGCTATTGTTTTACTAGGAGTAATAGGAGCTGAATTTGGTGCTGAAATTGAACCTCCTAAGCTGTTGACCAGACCGCGAAGCTCTAGTCAGATTCCTGAGGGCTTTGGTTTGACTAGTGGTGGATCCAACTACTCACTGGCCAGGCATACTTGTAAGTTTTTAAATTCCTAATGCTGATCTATTGCCTCTCAATGCATATTATTAACAAAATCCAAGAATATTGAACATATCCTGAGTTTTAGCTCAAATAGAATGCTTAACTGCAGTTAGGAAGCAGTACAGTCTGTTTGGCACGTTACCCCGTGTCATAGTTACCCGAACTTCTTTTTAAAAGTTAAAATGTGGTTTTTAAATGCTTTTCTTAAAATAACACATTTCTGAGATTTGTGTTTTCACAGTTGGGTCAAGATTTTAGCCAAAAACTTATGAAAGCTAGCTCTAAGTTAAAACTTTTAACTTATAAAATAATTTCTGAAAAACTATGACCTTGTCCAGAACATAGTTAGAAAAGTCACAGGTGGAGGTGGATCACCGATTTTTTTCTTTAAAAAAAAATAAATATTTTAAAGAACATGAGTGAGGAAAAGCAAATTAGCTCTAATTTAAAAAAAAAATATTCGAATACCAGTTTTAAAATCATGAAGAATTACAGTCAGAGCTTAAAGGGCTTGTGCCATATTGCTTTGGTTCTGTAGCTGGTGTTAGTAATAGGTAAAGGTATTGTATTTATGACGTCTTTTGGCACTTTGGTGTTGGAACTTCTTTACCTAAGGTCAGAATATCTCTGCCATATTGCAAAATCGTTTCTAACATTGTGTCATTTTAAGGACGAAATATAATCCTACTAAATATTGATACATCACAAAATATTCTTCGGACAACAAATTGCAATGTGTTCTTTTGGGTTTTTCAACCTTTTAGCAAAAAAGAAAAATATACTATGTTACTTTGGTAGCTATAACATCAGAGAACTTCATTGGATCATTTTCACATATTTTTTCCTGTGAAACCAAGGAGTTGTATTACAGGCTTTTTATTATTATTATTATTTTCTCGAGAGGCTTTTATTATTAAAGCCCTGGCGTAGACTTAGCTGCCTGACCCCCTCCCCTTGGCTTTTAATGCAACACATATGTATTAGTGTTGGTAATCTCTTCATCTCTATTTCACACAGAATCAGAGAGTAATAATAATACCAACAACAACCATAATAAAGCTACTAATTCTTTTGAGCACAATTTCAAACTCTCTACATGCATCCACTCACTCAAGCCTCATAATCGGCTTTCACAGTGGGTGTCTCAGTTACCTCCGCTCTGCGGGCGAGGCGGTGGGGCGCAGAGGGGGCGCAGAAGGGCGTGGCCAGCCTGGCCAAGTTCACAGCTCCAGGGGACTGGCAGGTGTTGGCCGAGCACCATCTGTGGGTTCCAAAGCTCAGGCTTTTGACCCTTATGCAAACTGCCACTGGTCAGTGGTTCCTAGTGGAAAAGGACTTACTGACCAACCTGGGTTACCACTTTATAATTTAAAAAGTCTTTTCTACCCCCTCATTTGACCTTCCAAACGGAAAGTAGCTTCTTTAAAGTGACTCAGCCAAAAAATGGTGAAACTTGAATTTGACCGCAAGCTGCTTGTGACCCAAAAAACCCTGCCCTTTGCAAAGGCCTCCTCAGTTAAGCCCACCTCTTGTGTCGCGCCGGACAGCCTAGGACTCAGATACAGTTCCCTGTTTGCAGTCCTCACATTAGAAAATGAGAGGTTAATGAAACTGAGATGCCTGTTTACTGTGGTGGCTTTCACACTCTTTTGCTTACCCTCTCTCTTTGACTGTCAAGAAATTTCTAATCCCTTGCACATTTTTATGTTGACAGCTATAGCTTTTTAAGTTTAAACATTTGTAGATGACTGAATTTCGGGGACATTGTGATTATTGACATTTAAAATTCAGCTAGTGTTCTTTTTAATATTATCAAGAGAATATTTACCGTAACTATTTGATATCTATATCCATTTATAATATTTATATTATCCATTTAAAGAAAAACAGGACAACCTTTCCTTTGGAAGTCAGAAATATTATATCTGATTGTTTTTCTTGTAGAGAAATAATTTCTTCCCTGACAGTTTTAGGGAAAGTGGTCATTTGCTGATTTAGCATCCAGAAATTAATTCCTTTAAACTAACTATCATAAAACTGTTTGTGCTTTCTTGAAAAGTCTTAAGATGTTCCCAAGTGAAGGGAGTTACTGACTTTGAAGACCATTATTTTAGTCCAGCTTGTTTTGTATAATTTCTCAACAGTATTCTTTTGTATTTTGTATTTTACTGCAAGAAAAGTGAATATAAATGCCTTTCCCTGAAATTTTCCCATAGCTGAGTGTAAGTATCTATGTATAAATACAGGAACATCATAAATTTATGAATTGGGGGCTGATTCTGCCCAAGCCATAGGCTCATTGGTAGGCAGACTAGTTTTCACCACATTGTCTTAGCTGCCTTTGCTAACGCTGTTATCACCCCTTTTCTGACCACAATTTATCTTTATATAAAATTGTGATATTCATGCACTTGCTTCTGTATATCTTTTAACTATATTAATTTCATCTGCAAATTATAACTACTATGATTAGAAAAAGAGGAAGCCGTTTAGGGGAAAAGGGGAAATTAAAATGCTGTGGCAAAGCAGAAATAGAGATTTTTCAAAGAAGCCTTGGGAATTGGTGAAAGAATCGAAGGGCCTTAGCTCTCCATGTCAAACAGCCCTGAAGCCTGTCCCTGACACGAGGGAGGCCCTGCGCTGAGCGGCCCCGGGGGGGGCTTTGGCACGGTGCCCCTCAGCTCTCCTCGGCAAAGCAAGAAAATAGACCCAAACATTTTAAACATTTTAAATGTAGAACTGAGTTTGCTCTTTGAGCATTTTGGGTAAAAGACTAGATGTGGCAATGCTTGTTAGCAAAGTCTATTTATGATGATTTCACTGGACCAAAGGACAGAGAGACTCTGAGAGGTTTCTAGCAAGCAAGAAATAGTATATAAGAAAGAATGATATAGTTAGTACCTACTAGAACCAGTTTAAAATGTGTAAAAGGGGCCTTGATATTTTCCTTATTTATTATGGCTCTCCTAGTTTATCTTAATAATTATGAAATATTATAAAGGTAATCATAGTTTGCTTTTAACTTCCCTTCCATGACACTATTTTTTTCATTAAAGAGCTTAGATTACTTGGTGGTAAGTTTGCCTACCACAGGGATTCTTAAAGGCCTTTCTTACTTGAATTGAAATATTTTTATTAAATTTATAACTATCAGTTTAAATCTTGTGCTCCTGATTAGAAACAGACATCTAAATGTCCTGTGTCTTACTTAGGCTCTTTTCAATCAGTTATGTGTAAAATTAACCAGCTATAATGTTAACCTGCTAGAAATGGCTGTATGCACTGAATGCAATGTTGTTTGTTTATGTGGCATTGAGAATGGATTGGTACCGTTAAATATTTAGTCTGTATGGCATCCTCTTGAATGAGATAATAATTATTATCCTCATTTTGAGATAAGGCCATTAAGTTACAATATTTGATGAACTTTAATTGCTAATGTAGTTAGAGGTATACATAATGAATTCTGACTTCCTCGTAAAGCCATTCTGTGAAAACTCTTACCCGGTCATGTCGCAGTTACCCACACGGATGGGAGGGAACTGTGATACTGATGCTTAGTTCAGAAGCCATCTTTAGTTTTATAATGTATTACGTACTTAGATTTGAATATCTATGAATCTTTTCTGGGTGTTACACGTGACATGAAATGTCAAAATCACATATTGAAGACAAAGCTGAAGGACTCTGGTGATGAAGAGGACTAGACCAGGCCACTCTTTTACCTTGTACCCTCTGTAAATGAAGTGTCCCTCTGGGTCACAGCTTCCTCTGATATAAAATAAAAGGCCAGAACTATTCTCTTTTTAAAGCCCCTTTTGTCCAATTAGTCTCTGCTTCTGCAGTGAAATAAAAAGTATCTAAGGAAATTCACCTTCTTCATCACCTCCTCATTTTCTTCACCACAGAGGGATGGATGCTCTGTTCGCATCAGCCCAACTTCCGTAGAGATTCTTCATTTTTATTTGGATACACAAAATAAAGCACTTTTAGACTATTTTGGGGTATTATTTATAATATTACCTAACAGAGCCTTCGGTTCACTCTTTCATTTGGTCTCTTCTGCCCAGTTTATAATTGTGGAATTATGCTGGCACATCTGTAGTAAATCCCGTTTTGATCTCTCATTAGCTTTTTGACTTTGGGCAAGTGTCATAAGTCATTTCCCCGGGCAGCAGACTCTGAGACAGATTTGTATGCAGGCGGATTCCTGGATCAATATCTTTAGGGAGTGAAAGAAGCAGGACTGGGCTGGGGGAGAAGTTGAACTGCATTTCAGTTGCCCAGAAAGCTCCAATTCCGCCCACCTCACGGAGCTCTGGAGCTGGGGTGGCCCTTCGGACTTGTCCTGAATTAGGACTGACGGCTTGGCCTTTGTGTCCTCTTGTCAGTCCCTGGAATCAGGTCCTTGGCGCCCCGAGAAGGGGTGGACTGGGGGGAGGCAGCTCTCTTCAATGTGAGGCAGATCCCACAGAGGGACTCGGGGGAGATTTATCAGCCACTGACGCCCCCTGAGCCAGGGGAGGGAGTTCTTCGGTTGCGGAGGGAGGAGACAGGCAGCCTCTCCAGCTTCCCCTCGGCATGTTACTAATTTACGTGTGTCCCAGTTCCTCCTACAGTCCACAGAAAGGGAAAGGGGGACTGCCATTCACTTAACATGCTTTTTATTCCGACTTCATACGTATCTCTTATTACCCTGCAAGGCAGACATTTTACACAGAACCTAGCACCATACAGGGCGCATTAATAGGTAGTCACCAATCACTTACCCTGTGCCAGACATGTTGCTATGTGCTTTACTTGTATTATCTTGTGTAATCTTCTGATCCTATCAAATACCATCACTGTTCCCGTTTATCAGGTCAGAAGACTAAAGCTTTGCCCCTTACTCACTAGAGTTTTGTGAAATTGGATTAAACTCAGACAATAAATTGAGGACACAGGTTAAATGTTTTTAAGGTCATACTGCAAAAAATATCAAGCCTGGACTTGAA